TTCGTCAATTCACTACTTCATTCATTCGTTTGTTCATTCATTCATTCATTCATTCATTCATTCATTCATTCATTCATTCATTCATTCATTCATTCATTCATTCAATCTTCCCTTCCTTTCTGAGTTTGTTTGCTTGTTTGACTGTGTGCTGACTTGCTTGCTTGCTTGCTTGCTTGCTTGCTTGCTTGCTTGCTTGCTTGCTTGCTTGCTTGCTTGCTTGCGTGCTTGCGTGCTTGCGTGCGTGCTTGCTTGCGTGATTGAGTTTGTTTGCATTCGATTGTTTCGCTCTGTTTCGCTTTGCTTTATTCGTCCATGTGTTAGGCTATGTCTTGGATGGGCTGGTTGCCTCTTTGTCTCTTTGTTTGTTTGTTTGTTTGAGTGCTTGAGTGCTTGAGTGCTTGTTTGTGTGCTGGTGTGTTCTTTGGTGTGCTCTTTTAAGTGTTTTGTGTGCTTTGTTTGTTTGTTTGTTTGTTTGTTTGTTTGTTGGTTTCTTGGTTTCTTTGTTTGTTTGTTTGTTTGTGTGTGTGTTTGTTTGTTTAAATCATTGTCCGAGTGGGCCCCCGCAGCATCCCAGCGTGGTCCCAAACAAAACCTCATCCAGAGGTGCGCCCAGTCAAAATCTGAGCAGTGAAGATTGGGTGCGGCCGCGCTTTTGAAGCTTGGGTATTACGCTTTGATATCAGGCTTTGGTTATGACGCAAACGGGAGGCATTGCAAGTAGGTCAGTTCTGTGGTTGTTCAGCACCCTCTGTCCCTTTTTTGCTGGTTCCCGTACAACTATGGCCGTGGGTCACAAAACCAATGGTACCATTTTGGGGTAGGTGAATTCACCACCCATTTTAGTCAATTTTAGTGGTTGGATTGGCATGTTCACTGGAATACGATTTGGATTTTGACCCACAGCCATATGGTCCGCCCCAAAAAGAGTTTATGGTTTCTTCGAGGGTCGGGCAGAAAAAGCCGGCAGGCAGGAGTGGGAGCAGGTGAAGGCCCCATTCTTGGAGGCGGAGCGGAAGGGAGTGGTTGCCGTCTTGGTTTTTTCATACTGGGGTTATTCGTCGAACTGTTTCTGAGGGTTATCAAAGTCAGATCATGTGGTTTTCTCCATCCATTTAACCCACCACTTAGGGGGTGACTTTGATCATGGCAAAATTATGATGTCAGTACAAGGGGTCCCCATTTTGAGATGCCGTCAGGTGTTGGAATTGCTTGCCCGGAGATTGGCATGGAAACCAAAACATGGGGGTTGATTCCCAAGAGGAATCCGCGTACTATGCGTGCTGCTGTTGGTGCCATCAGTTTTTCGGGAGAGCACGAGGTTGTGCTTGTCGCCTGTTTCTTTGTGCTGAGCCCGCATATTGACTGGGCTCTTCAATCATAAGCACAAGTCCATATGAACGATCCTGGTGCAACGTGGCCCCTGATGTTTATAGTTGCACGTTGTATATACAAGCATAATCAAGCACAGCTGGGTGTCACCCAGCAGTTCGGCTCCTCGTGTGGGCGTGGGTGTGGGTGTGGGTGTGGGTGTGGGTGTGGGTGTGTGTGTGTGTGTGGTGGGTGGGTTTGTGTGTGTATGTGTGAGTGAGTGTGCATGCTGCTAAACTAAGCAGGTGCCGCTGGGCGAGCGTGCTTAACTTTTGGCAGGTTAGCGCGTAGCTGCGGGCGGGCACTCTTTAAGAGGTGTGCTTATCATGTGGGAGCCATTTCTGCATCCTGAGAGGGTGTGCGTATTATTTGGCAGGCGTGTGCGTTGCTGCCTGTTCCGTTTTTGTGGGTCACGGCAGTTGGGATTCGAATGATGTTCGCCGCGTACTACAAGGTTTGTGCTGTCAATTGGAAGAAATCCAAGGGCCTCCTACTTGCAAGGTCTCTTTTAGTCCGCGGCGTGTTGGCCACGGCCCGCAGTGTTGTCGGAGGCGGCGGAAAATCTGTTGAGTGCGTGCGCGCAGTTTTGCGCGGCTGCGCTTATCATTTGGCAGGTATGTGCAGTTCCGTGCGGGCAGGTCTGTTTATCATGTGGCAGGCGTGCTTGCTGTGCTGCGCGGACACACTTGAGCGGGTGGGTGCACTAATCATGTGGCAGGTGTGCGCGCGATGCTGCAGGGACGCACTTGACTGGTATCACTTGGCGGGCGCGTGTTCGGCGCCGAGAGACGTGCACGGGAACTTCACCCCTCCCTCCCTGCGCCCCAGGAGACAATGCGTATTTTTGGTTGCTGCAGTCGTAACAATTTCGCCCGCCCCTCCAAGACCCGAATCACGTTTTGTGTTGCGGGTCCTCACCAACACGACACCTTTTGGCAGATGGCTCATGGGTCTTGGGCGCTGCCCCTGCGATTGGCAAAGCCCAGGTGTATCCAATCGCCAAAGCAGCCTACCGCCGCGCCAACGGGGGCACCGCCGCCCCTTGCATCCACGAGGATGTGGCGCCCAAGTATTTGCCGAGGTTTCCCAAGGACCGAATGGGACCAGGAATGGTGAAGTTTGTCTCGACAACCAACCCCTAGTAATTACCCATTGAATGGAAGCCAAGGTAAGGCTGTTTGAACCTGGGCTGCTGGAAGCTCGAACTTGTGGCGAATTTTTGCCTCGGAGCCGCACCAGCTCATTCTCAATCAGATTTGCAACAGTGTTAGTTAATATTCTCAACAACTTTGAACCGGGGGTGGAAAGTTACAACGACCTCCGCCCTGTGTTTGGAATTGCCCTGAGGGTGATTGAGCTCTCGTGGCATGGCCTGCATTCGACTGTCGCTGAACTTGAGCATTGGATGTCCCCGCTCGTGTTTACTCCCCGGCAGCTTGTCACAAAAAGCCAGCAAACAACAAGTGTTGACGAGAAACGATTCTTTGGAGGACGCCATTTTTGCGCATTTCAATTTACAGGGGGACAAGTTTGCGGACAGCGGTTTGCTGTTTTTCCACGTTTGTGGGTGTAGGACTATCTGATTTGTGTGCAATTTAATTGAGCATGCCTCTTTCTTCAGGTTCCTTTCAATACCAACCCTGTATTTTTCTCAAAGAAGGCAAGCCAGTCAGCGAGGGAGATCACTATGACATGTTTTTGTGGTCCAGTCTTTAGTATTTTGTTTTCCTGGGGCCGAGCAGCTGGCCTGCCAGTAGGAAGAGCTCTGAACTTTGCTCTAAAGCTTCTTTTTCATGTTCGTGGTCGAGGGAGTCAAGGGGGCCATCTTGGGGATTTGGGGCAGAGTTATCATGAAACTCCTCCTTTCCAACGACACCCTCAAACCCAGTTGATTTGGTGTTTCCAAAGCCTTGTGTTCCCGGTTTGTCGCACCCCGGTCCCCCGCCCCCAAAGACAAATGGGCAGGGATGAGTATTTGTGTTGACGCGAGCTCGTTTTCATGAATGTATTTTCTCGGAGTCCTTGGCTTAGGCTGATGAACTTTAGTGGTACATACGTATATGTAACTTATTGCACAAACATATCAGAGCGAGTCTGACTTCTGCGAGCCTTTTGGCAATCTCTCCAGGCGCCGCCGAAGCCAGCTGGAACATCGCCGCGCCTGGTGGTGCGCAAGACGTTTTTGGACCTGGATGAGGGCACTTTGACACGTCCAGCCGTGCGCAGCAACACGCTGCCCGCTTTTCTCGGCAGGGCCCTCAGTCGGGCCTGAGATCGATCAGAAGTCCTCTTTCCAGGAAATGCAAACTTACAGCGATCCGGGCCCGACACGAGGAAGCCTTCCGAAAATGCCCTGGCCTTCGATTGGAGGGAGGGTGGCCAGTCGAAGAGGGTCTTTTGGACCACCCATGGCAAAGGGAGACTCTCGGGCACCCACGCCCGAAGGAATGCAGGGGTGCTGGGAGAGTAGAAATGCACGTTTTTTCTGGCGGCAGCCGGATGAATGCAACAAAACCCGCACCGGAAGCAGTCCAAATTGTAAAGAGTCAGGACTGCTTCAGCTTGCCTGGTCAAGGCACAGGTGCGACCCTTCCGAAGCCCGCAGGACATCAATGCTGTCATGTTTCAGTTGTGTCACGTGTCAATCCTGTTTACTCAATGTGGCACGCTCGGATTCATTGGGCTGGTCGTCGTGGAATCAGACTGGCAGTGGTGCGTTCTGCAGGCAGTTTGGTACCCCCATGTGGCCACATGAAGTCCATGAGAAACAAGCGATGATGAGCCTCCCCAGCTGTGCGCTGCGTATGTACAGAGCGGAGCGCTTGGTGAAGCAACGAGGCAACGCTTGGAAACAGGCGCGTCTGCTGTGAGATTGTGGGTAAAGGATTTACTTGCTGCTGGGACGGTTCGTTTCCATGTGAGATCTGCTAAACCCCCAGCTACCATATAATGGAAGATATCTCCAAAGGAACCCGCAATGTGGCGGTCCTATTTTGGATCGTTTGGGCGAAGGTGAACGGGCGTGCCTGTTCAAGGTACCCTTTTTGGGGCCCCAAACCCCCCATTAGAGAGTTGCCCATTCTGGGAAGCCGGTTTGAAGAGAAGCCCCCGTGCTTTGGTTCCGCTGGAAGCACAGGTGTTCCTTCAAAGGCCTGTTTGGCGAAGAATAGATGAAATCTTGGAAGCTAGAATTATGTTGGCTGGATAGCGGGCCCCAAGACTAGCCCTGAAACGGACCTTGGGCGGACAAATTCATTCAGGAGACCAAATCCCCAAAAAGTTCGCCACAAGTTGATCCAGAACTTGAAGTGACTCAGGACCGGACAAGCGGACAGAGTGCTATCCCTCCCCCCACTTCGTGGCGAAGTAGAGGAAGAGCTTCCAACACTAAGAGCCCTCTGGAAAACCAAACTTCAACCATCCTGGGTTGGGGATGGTCCAGCGTGAGTGAGTTACTGAGTTTCTTTTTGACTGGACAGCTGTGCGAAGACTCCCCAAAAAGGATGGGGGGAGAGCGGACGTAATGCGACCTCATTTGCCTGACACTGTGGCTTGCAGCTTGTTGGCCTGTTTGATTATTGCCCAGCTGCAGCAATTTCATACCCTCACTCCCGGATCCCGGATCCCGGGAGGCGCTTCACCACGCGGTGCTGGGCTCTCCGGCAGTGGGTGGAGGGCTCAGATTGGACGAGGGGGGGCACAAAGGGATGGATGCTACAGCGTGCACCGTAGATGGCAACATGTCTCTTCAGTGGAGCATGAGGTTTTGGTTTAGTTCATTCCCAAGCCTTTGGTGATTCCTTTACAAAACCAACGGTACCATTTTGGGGTAGGTGAATTTACCGCCCATTTTAGTGGGGTACGATTTGGCTTTTGACCCATGGCCATTTAACCCCGGCCAGCGAGGCGCACACCAAGCGCTGCAGTTGGCCAAGATCCGGCGCTTGCGGCTTCTGCTGAGCTGCCGGCTGAGCCCCTCCAAGCGGGGCCGCTGGTATGCGGACCCTTGGGCGCGGATGTTTCACGATGAGGTCTCTGGAGGTGTGGGCGCTTTCCCAAGAACTGGGGGGATTCAGATTCGAGATCCCTATTCAATTTAGGTTCGGTTGTGCGGTTTTGAGGTTCTGCGGGGGTGCCTTAGTTGGATCGGAAGAAACTGGGGGTTCATTCCCCACAGGCCACCGGCAAAACAATTGGTGCGGGAGGGTTCCCATGCAATCAAGTTGCCCGGTTGTTGGCGCCTGACAGGGCGGGGGGGGGGGGGACGAACGGAGTGAACATGAGGCACGGGATGTGTGGAGGTGATTTCAGCGATTGGAATTGAGGTAAACCCTAAATTAATCCCCCTCGTTATTGATGGCGGGTTTGTTTTCAGTGAAAATTCCGCTCTTCCAGTTCCCCCCCCTTTTGAAGGGGTTCAGATCAGGGATCGCCACTGGAGGCTTTGGGGGTCCGAGGGTCAGGTCGGACCCTGCTAGGAGCGTCAGTGCTTTTGGGCCAGGAAGGTACCCGAGGCAGGCCCCACCTTGAGCCCGACACGGGTTGGGGATTGCAGGGTGCCCTTTTGACTTTTCACTAATATCCCCAGGATTTGTCAGTCAGATTGGTAGATGGATATCCCAAAATGGGTTTTGAGATCGACGGATGCGGTGGGTGAAAGTAGATGGCGGAAATCCAATCTATTTTGGTTTAGTCACCCCCTCTTTGCTACCTAGTTTAACCCTGACGACCATAGCTGTACTTCTGTGGATGGACAAGATCGTGCACCCCAGTTGAATGATGAAGCACTGTGAACACTGGTTGGAAACCACCCGCCTGCCTGAGATGGTGTCCGCCCCGGGATCATCCCCAGAAACCGGGCAAATGCCCGCGGTTGCTATGTCTCCAAATAGAAAATAGGTGAGCCCCAACACCTGTTGGTGCCCCTTTTTCCCTTTAAACCAACCATCGGTCCCTTCCCCCCCCCAAGAAAAGAACAAACAAACAACGAGAGAGGGAGAGACAACTATCTGGCTATAATAGTTGCACTTTAGAACCTAGCCCAACACCTAGGCCACCCCACAAAAATGGCCACCGAAAAAGGGCCACTCCGCTTTAGGACTTACACAAAGCATGGGCCACACCGGTTCCCCGCCTCCCCTGGCGACCGACTGCTGAGGAGTTGGCCAAGGAGCTGAGCCGCCGCGAGGGCCCGCGGGCGGCGCTGGCGCTCAGCGCCGCGGGGCTGCTGGAGGGCGCGCCCCAGGCGGGGGGGGGGGCCCCGGTGTTTCTGGTGCTAAGAGCCGGGTGCTATGGGGCCCCCCCGAGTGACACCTGGGTCCAGTTTTTTTTTTTTTTTTTGAGGGGGGTTTGGAAAGCCTCAAAAAGCCGGTTTGAGGTCTAGAAAGTCACCAAGAATGTAAAGCAGAAGAGCTCAAAATGAAGGGAGAGTGTTTGGCGTGGTGGGCCAAGGCGTGGATGGCTGTGAAGGCAAGCCAACAAGGCAACAACCTGGGGTTCCCCTTTTCCAGAAACGCCTGACAAACCGAGCGTAACATGAGCTTCGTGTAAAGACGGATCTGGGTTTTCAGTTGATCATTGCAATGCAGCTTCCAGGTGCTTGGTTGTTTGTTCTTTTGCTTGGTTTGCTTGAGTTGTGTGTGATTGGTTGCTGACTGCTAGCTGTGGAGTACAGACTAAGTGAGAGGAACACCCTGCAGTGAGTGAGATGGGCTGAAGAGTGGCTTCCACATGTATGCTGGAGCTTGGCTTCACTGTTCTTGGTGTGTGTTTAGTTGTTTGCTTCTTGGGATCCTGTTGATTTTAAGCTGAGAATTCGAAGAGCAATACTTTGGCCAACCGACGCCAGGTTGGGAAGTGGCTGAACATGCGGTGGCATGTGCCACCCTGTCAATTTCCATACTCAGATTCAGAATGGACAAAGGACTTTCCAAGAGAATGGGCGACGGGACATGTCAAGGTGAGCTCTGTTGGGGTTGCCCACAGGCCCCGGCGCCAGTGGATCTCACCAGCGATGGCGCATCGCAGGAGGCGCGCGCCTCAAGAAGTTGATACGAAAATATGCCGTATGCAAATGTGGTGGGCCAGACATTTTCCCGGTCAAAGAATGCACTAATCACATGTTCATGTACATACAGACATATATGCACATACACGATTCCTTGGTACATGTGAATGTGCATGCGCCCTTTCACAAGCTCTAGTCAAGGTCAAGACTATTGAGTTGTCCGCGGGGATTCCGCTCCAATCGATGCACCACGGAGCTTCAGGACTAAAACTGACAAGGTGCTGAAGCCTTTGTCTGGTGAAGCGTCATAGACCGGTAAGGTGAACTTGACACAACTAGAGAGGGCCGGGCAGCAATTGTAAAAATGTTGGTCACGGTTGCGCTAGTCGCCTGGTGTTTTCGGAGCCGTCACTGTCAAAAACGTTGGGTGTTTGCTCATTTCACTCGCAGCGTGGCAGGCGTCAACATGCAAAACTACTTCGTTCGCCAATGCGCCCAACAAAGCATTAGGCGAAGCAGTTCGTCTCCACACGAATTGATAGGTTCTTTGTTTCAGATGAACATTAACATCCGAAGTATTGTCACACCAACATTTGCGGTGGAGCTGCGGAGGCAAGAAAGCTTTCAATGACTGCCATTCACAATCAACCGATTGAATTCCATGAGCCTTGGACAACTTGACTTCTGACATCATACGTGTCTACAGAATTCTTTTAGTTGGTAGCTCACCTGATGAAAGTTCTTCACTTTCAGGATGCGAGCTGCCTTTGGCCAACACAATGCACCATCAGGATGAATTCCAGAAACATCACGTTTGCTGACACAATTCAACAAGCCACTGGTCTGTACATCTTCCCAGGACTCAACTGGGCCAGGGTCAGCAGACACCCCTACCGAGCCGTGAAAACAACCGTAGGGACCGAAGGCAATTACCCCCCCCCCCCCCACACCCCCAGTTGGACACGGTTGCGCTGAGTTGATAGGGGGAAAAGTAGCACTTGAGAAAAACAGTTACGAAACAGCGTTTGATACCAGGCGACCAGAGCAACTGTGACCAACTAGAGAGGGCCGGTCAGCAATTGTTTAGCAGGCAGTAGGTGGGTTGGAGCCAACAGTAACAGCGTGTTGCGCCTCCCGGCGTTTTCCTCTGATGTGGGTAGGTAAGTTGGGATGGTTGGCAAAGTTTCCTCTGACGTGGGTAGGTAATTGGGGATGGCTTAGCCGTTGCGAAATCGTGCTCTGTACTTTCACCCCGCTGTACATGAAGAAATGCCCTGAACGGACCCGCGGACCTGAGGACTGTCGGCTGGAGGCTTTGCCGCGCGATGCACGCCGGGGCGGCCCAGATGCTTCCTTCAGCTTGGTGAAGGCAGCCCCAGTTCAGTGGCAGCCAATTTCACTTTTGGGTGTGGCGGCTATCCTAAGCTCAGAAGGTTCAGAAGGCCCATGCTTCTTTTTAAGATCCGGTTCATCTTCTGATGTGTTGCAGGTTTTGGCAGCACTTACGACACCTTTGCGTTCTGGCCAACTCGGCCAGGATGAGGCCGGATGTTGAGGTAAAAGGCCACAGCCCCAACCAACCTCAAGGTTTCATATTACAAGACCAACACTCCAAGTTGAAAGGGGTGGGCGTTGTTTGCGTCTGAGGCTGCCTAAAATCATGATTGTGATTGCGCACACTCAAATGCACACGAATCATTTCATAACCTACACATATATACATACGCCTGTGCCTTATGACTGCGCGCACGCATATATATATATATATGTTTATATATATATATATATATGTTTAATAGTAGATGGACATGTATATACAAAACAATAATGTGTTTGCATACAATGCACGCAATACCTATAGACATATTTGTTTCCTATGTATGTAGATTCCGTTCTATTCCCATCATCCTCGTTGTTTTCCCTCGCCCACAAAGCGCGGTTCGTTTTCGAGTGCCTTAGGCTGGGACCTGGCGCGGAGGTGCCGGGCCTTGGCCAAGAAGTGCGACGGCCTGGGGCCTCGCTGGCGCCGAGCCCTGGACCAGGCCCCTGGGCATCGCGGAAAAGGTCGCGTTGGATCCATTCAAAATTGGCTGGTTGGCTGGCCGGTTGGTTGGTTGGCTGGTTGGCTGGCTGGCCGGCTGGCCGGGTAGCTGGTTGGGTGGCTGGCCGATCTAGTCAGCCTGGTGGGATTTTTGGGAGGTTGGGACCGGGTCCCCTATCAACTGGGACAACCCCTTGTTAATCAACAATTTGTGCCCATCCTGGGTTCCCATTAGGGTGGATGCTCGAAATTGTGGATTCTGGAGCTAAATCGAAATATATATATATATATATGTATATATTCACATAGCCGATTTCTGGACAGATTTGTTGCATCTGCAGACCCCCTATTTCAGAGTCTTAGAGTGTGTGTGTGTGTGTGTTTGGTTGGTTGGTTGGTTGGTTGGTTGGTTGTTTGTTTGTTTGTTTGTTTGTTTGTGTGTTTGTGTGTTTGTGTGTTTTGTGTGTCTGTGTCTGTTTGTGTCTGTCTGTGTCTGTCTGTTTCTGTCTGTGTTTGTCTGTGTCTGTTTGTGTCTGTCTGTCTCTGTCTGTGTCTGTCTGTCTGTCTGTCTGGTTGTTTGTTTGTTTGTTTGTTTGTTTGTTTGTTTGTTTGTTTGTCTCTTCGCCGTAACTGCTCACAACTTCGACGGCGCCCATGGTAGGTGTCGACTCATGCCGTCTCCTTTCGACGCGAGCCCGCTTGCAGGTGGCGGATGGCGGATGGCTGCCCGAGTTGGTTGTGCGGCTGATCGAGGAGGAGGAGTCTGCTGCAGGCGAGAAATCGAAGTCACGGAGGACATTGCAACATTTTGCCCAGCACAAATCAAAGGCAAGGCAAAGTTATGGTTTTAGGTGATCCCCATGAACTGAGCCAGCACCACTTAGCCAATTGCAAAACATGTTTGCCTGCAGCTTCATTTTAACATTTGCTTTTGACCGATTTGGTTTGTCATACTATTTCTGGCCGACTGAACAAATATGGGCCGTTAAGGCCGAGTTGGAAACAAATTGGCAAATTATTTGGAGAAAGATCTTGGTTATTTTTGCAGGCTGTTCTTTGACTGGCATGCCATGCGCATCATGATGCTGTTCGCCCTACCCAGACAATAGTTGTGGACTGAATCCAAGGGCTTCACTAGCTGAGGAGGAAATTGCGCTTGTCCTCTGTGATCCTGCAAATCTAGATTTGCAACTTGTGGATTTGCGGGTGGTTGCATCCGTTTTGCGGGTTGTTGTGCTCGATGTGCGTCATCACAGTTTTTCCGCAAAAAGAAACAAACAGTCAAACCTCAAAGGTCAAATCTTGCTTCCAATTCCTGTCCCTGGTGCTGGCTCCAGTTCTTAACGGTGCCTAGAGCCACAGGCTCAGCTACCTGAACAAGAGTAAGTGACCGCTTGACGTGGCAGGCTTGCCTTTCTCCCATTTGTTTTTTGTGCGGGTGACATGGCAGACAGGGAAGTTGTGGTCTGTTTGCAGGGCCTATCCGGAACCTGAGCGCCGGCAAGCTTGCGCTGCCGCAAGTGGGCGCCGGGCATCGGCGGATGTTTGATGGCAGCTTCACCTAATCTGGGCTTGGGGTCTCGGAGTTGATGTGTTCGATCGGTTTTTTCATGTGGTTTGCGGGTGATTGCGGGTGTTTCGGATGAATAATGAAGAAAGAGCTGTGATGAGTTTTGTTTATGTCCCTTGGCAGGGGCCAGCAACATGCCGCATGCTAGGTGTGGGTGTGTGATGCTTGAGATCCCGCAAAATTAGGCAAGCAATGGGTCTTGCCGTGGCGACTCTTTCGTGTTCACTGGCCATGCATTAGAAGGCCAAAGTGGGGCCCCCACTTGGACTCTTGCCAACTTGCAGGCAACACAAATATGTGCCTTTGCCTCTGTATCTTTTCTCACCGTGTTGAGAAAATTATTGAATGACAGCACGTGTGGAGATGGGCCATGGGTGTTTGGTTTTGTTGCAGTTGCATTCAGGGAACGACCGCCCCGACAAGCACCAAATGGCAACAGCAGTGCGAATCATAGCCGCTTCTTTCAATCTCACTCTAGAAGTCATACAACCCCGTCCGTGGTGCAACGTCTTGCCTTTGGGATCTCAGATGGTTGTTGGTCAACAACAGGAGCCGTGTGTTCGTCACAGTGTAAGGAAATTTCTGCACCAGCATGGGCATGGGATCCGAGAAAATTGACAATAGGCATGTATTGTTCAGGGAATGTTCGAAATGGGAAAGTAAAAGGTCTTCATACATGTACGAATACATATCAATGTGCATTCGCAAATGCGCCTGCATACGTGCACGCATATTATTTATATATATTACAAACAGTGGTCCACCCCTGACCTATGGGGCTCACCACCCACTGGCAATCGCTGGAGGCTTCCTCCTGGAGGAACTCACAGTGGAAGAGCTGGCAATGCAGCACTACTTCAGCCAGGAAGCTTCACAGCCAGTTTCTTCTGCAGTCTTTCGTCTGCTGAACTTTTCATTTGTTTGCGCGTTTCGGGACTGGTCTGTTTCCTAAATGTGGTGCTTGTCTGTCTGTTTTGTTGTTGGCTAGTTTGTTAGTTAGTTAGTTAGTTAGTTAGTTAGTTAGTTAGTTGGCGTGCTTGCCTATTTGTTTGTTTGTTTGTTTCTTTGTTTGTTTGTTTGTGAGTTCTTCTGTTTGGCTGGTCGGTGGATCGGTTGGCCGGTTGGTCGGATGGTTGGGTTATCGATACGTTGGTCGGTTTTGTGTCTCTGTGTGTGTTTGTGTGTTAGTGTGTATTTGTGTGTGTGCGCGTGCGTTCGTGCGTGCGTGCGTGCATGCGTGCGTGTGTACGTGTGCGCGCGTGTTTCCTTGCCTGCTTGCTTGCTGTCTGCCTGCCTGCCCGACTGCTTGCCTGCTTGTTTGCTTGTCTGGCTGCCTGCCGGCCTGTTGTTTGTCTGCTTGCCTGCCTGCCTTCCTTGCCTGCTTGCCTGCCTGCCTGCGCCTGCCTGTTGAGGAGGTGCAAAACAGTAAAGCCTGACTTGTGAAGCACAAGGAGGCAAACCAGAAAGACACCTTCAGAGGTGGCGGAGTTGACATGGGTAACATTTTGTTTGGACCCAACAAGGTTTTTCCCATCCAATGAATGTGTGCAATGTGGACAAGAATGCCTGGCATAGTTGCAGGAAGGCGGCGGCTTCCAGTGTGGCGTCCACTGCGAGGGGGCTATTCTGCGGGATTTGTGGCTGGGTCGCATGAAGACAAACATGTTTGCCTCTCGGAGTTGTTGTTTTTTTCTCCAGATTCGCCCCTTCATGTGATTTGTTGTTTGCCCATTTCTGAGGAAACGTGTGGTGCCGATTGAGCAAGTCAAGTTGCACTAGCGAGTTGCATGAGAGATTGCTTGAGCAAGTTACGCACGCAAGTTATGCCAGAGTTTGCTAGAGCAAGTTGTGCCAGAGGTTTCTACAGCAATTTCCACAAGGATTGTACACGAGTGTTTTGCAAAGCAAGTAGCACGAGCACGTTGCGTAAGAGATTGCTTGAGCAAGTTTCATGAGAGGGTTTTTACGCTGTGTTTGGCTGGAGAAGTAGCTAGGAAGCAAAACATCTTGTTGTTGGCTGCCACTTTCGGTACCCCACTTCAGTAGCCATGGTTGGAGCCTCCTTTGGTACAATGGCAAGGGATCCAGTGATTTTCAATGACCATGAGGGATGATTGCTCCACACATCGGTGCTCTGGGCTTTCAAGGCCAGCAGGAATCATATTGCGTTCTAGCTGGCAAGAGTGCAAGCTGCAACCCCTGCAAAAGCAAATTTAGGAGAGACAATTGTTCAACTTCGCGTGCCGTTTTGAAATGTGTCGGTTGCCCTTTGGCATGTTCATGGGTTGTGTTTGTAGTTGTCCTAGTGTTGATTTGCCGAGCTATCTTGCTGAGATGTTCCTTGGCCCCTTGGGCCCGCGAAGTGCCATTTGGTCGGAGCCTACGGAAGTGTTGACCTTTCAACATTTTTCAGCACTTTAATAATTCGAGGTACGAGGTAGTTTTTTTTTTATTTGTCCAGACTGTCCGGTTTCCACAGTGTTTAACTCGCTGCCCAAGGGCCATTTGTGCTCTCGCTTCGCGGGCCCTTGATTCAAGAGCCTCCTGCTCTGGGCTAGGGTAAGCGATACCATGAACATGTCGCCGTAACGTGGCGTAAGGTTCGCGATCCTGCTGTTCGACCAGATGTTCGACTGTGCCTTGCCTGGCTTTGGATCCAACTTGAAAGCCATGTCCCCTCGTCACATACCTGCATCCCGTCAGATGGGGAGGCCATGGGAGGCCCATTGTCGGGCATTTCGAGAGGCCCTGGGGCGCGCGAAGAGAGGCGTGCTTCGTAGCATGTTCTCTGCGACGAGTGAAAGCCAATTGTCAGCCAGCCATCCAACCAGCCAACCAGCCAACCAGCCAACCCATTCGAGTGTTCAATCGTGAACCCTGAAAGGCTACTTTGCAATGGAGCATCGACACCCATGCCCGGCACAGCTCATGAAGATGTTTGCGCCAACAAACAATGACGAAACACGAAAGCGTTGAACACAAGTTGCCGTTGGCAAAAGGAGCACATGCGTGCGGGCTTGTATTAGAGTGGGTGCCTCTTTGTTTGTGGCTCTTTGCTCAGAAACTTAGATATTTACCCCAGGCATGTGTCGGGCTTCAGCATCAGATCTCGTAAGTCAGTATCACCAGCCTTTGTTTTCTCCGGGCCACTTGGCTTTGAGCTTCGGGCCCAATCTGCCCACGAGGGGCCGTTGCCTTCCACGCGAGGCTCGGTGGAGGGCGCGTTTGTGTCCGCCTTCCAGGACCCCATGGGGCCAGACGGACGCGTGGCCTTTCCCAAGACTCCGCGTCTTTGCGAGTGGATGTGTTTTTTGGGTCAAAAGAAGGTGCCCAACATGGAACCCCGATAAATGAAACATACCACCTGCGCGCCATATCCTGGTGGTTTTATTTTGACCCATAGCCATGTGTTATTTGGGCTGGCTCGGGCGGTTGCTGATTCGCACTCCTGCCAGCATGTTGCTGTACCAACTGATCTGGCTCAACGCCGACATTGACCCGTCAACATTGGTAGAGCTTTTTGCAACAAGTCCGCATTTTCTTTAGAACACAACTTTGGAAGCCATTGTGGAAACCCAGGCAGAACCAACTTCGGATTGAGTAGTAGGTGGGTGTCCCATCCTTCACTCCTTCACTCTTTTTCTCATCCGGGGGTGGCATCTAACTTGCAAGGTTGATTACTCCCTTCTCTGTGCGTTGGACGAAAAATGTGTTGAACCCAGTCGGCTTAGCAGTCTGGTTGCGCCTCCCGACCGCAATGGGTAAAACAAGCTTTGTAGGGGAAGCCTCAACAAGTGAAAACTGCGCGGATATTTGCCCTTTGGACTTTTGATTAAGGGTTTTGGGTAAATTATTTTTGTCACCAGTGTTTGGATGTGGTTAACACGCCACACCACCTCCAAGACGAACATAGATCAACTCTGGATGTGTGTTCGGTGGCGGTGTATTTGGGCTGAAGGTTCAGGCAGATTTTGATAGGAACCTGCCGCAGGGTTGGCAAAGAGCAGCTTTTGCTGGCAAAATAGCCTTCCAGCTAAATCTTCAGGGTTTGCCACGGGTTTCTAACGGGTTTCCCCTTTGCCAAGGTTTTTCATGGTTTTTCACAGGTTTCCCATGAGTTTCGCAGGGGTTTCCCACGGAATTCATTCCTTTCCACCTGCCTCGAGATGCTCGAGCGAGCTTTTCGCCGGCCCTTAAAAGTCGCCGCCTGGTGCGCTGCCGCGTCTCTGGTGCGGCCAAGAGCCATGGCCTCTGTGACGGGGATGCCTCCAGGGCCCTTTGCCGTGGGGGTGACCACCTTGCGGCCTGGCCCCTCAAAAGGTCAGCCCTTCAAAACCCCAAAAAGAAGCCAAATAATGTTCAGACATTTTCCCACAGGCACCTCCTGCTTAGCACGCAGAAAATGGAATTGCGTACAGGGGTGACTGTTGGAATTTCGTTTGTAGTTCCACTGTTCGCTTTCGTGGGGGCCAAATTATTCGGGGGTGTGGGAGGTATGGAATTCGACTGCACACAACATCAAGTTGCCCATTTGCAGTTTCGAGGATCCCAGAAAATGTGTTTGTCTGGTGGAGGCTTCGCAAGAAATGGGTTGCACCCTTGCATTTTGGTCACTGCAGCATGCCCCCCGCCGAGGCAGTTCGACGACCACAGCCGTCAGGAAGAGGGTGGGCCAAGGAGCCTGCAGACGGAGATTTGGTACCCGGCGGAAGGCGCGGCGGCCGTGAGCGCGGATGTTGCTGCGAGGCTGCGAGCAGTGCGGCCCGTTTCGGAAGTCTTTGGTTTGGCCGAGTTTGTTTGCACATGCGTGTTGCAGCTTGAGAGGCTGAAGAGCAAAAGAAGCTAGAACATCAGCAGGGGTGGTAGTGGTAGTGTGAGTGGACGTGGCAGTAGAAGTGGTGGCAGCCGAGGTCAAGTAGTCCGTGCAGCGCATGCATCAATAGCGTCGCAGCCGCAGCCGTAGCAGCAAAACTGGCGGTCACATGGGGGAAGTAGAAGATAGCTGTAGAGTACCGTGAGACAGCAGATCGCAAAGCAGTGAACGCGGCCGGCCGTCCCACAGTCCGTCCAGCCCCTCACCCCCGCGAGTGAGCAAGGCTCCCAGGTTCAATCTGTCTCCAGCGGTCTCCGGCCTATTTGAAGCAGTGATTGATGAGACCCTTGCTGTAAACCCCAGGCAAGATTGTTTTGAAGACACCTTCCCTATGATTTGTCCCCGGCGGAGGCAGCTGCAAGTAGTGCCGTTTACAGCCGTGTATAGCCATGAGGGAATATGAGGGAATCATTCGATTTCAGTATGAGTGATGGACCACCTGCGGCCGGCATCGAGGGAGGGAGGGAGTTAGAGAGAGAGAGAGAGGGAGAGTTGTTACGCAAATGTGTATAGATATATAAATATATATTGTACAGATTTGAAGGATGGCTTCCTTTGCTTTCTCCAAAGTGGCAGCCGAAGTGATTGGCTCCGGCCCAGTTGGACCCGAGCAAGCCACTGCTTGAGGTGGCACCTGAAATGGGCCTGCAATCATCCACCCTCAATGGACCCTACTCCAATCCCAAACCAACCCAGTCGGAAGTGTTGTCACAAGGATGACCCACTCGGTTCACAAGGGCGAAACTAGATGGCAGAATTCCCTGTATGTTTTCCGATTAGAATTGTGGTCATCCACTTTCGCACGGTAGAGAAAAAGCGGTACGTGAACGAGGTCAGGCGACGCCAGGAGTTTGCCTCAGGTGGCAGTGGGTCACAACCAACGTTACCATTTTGGGGTAGGTGATTTCACCACCCATTTTGGAACTATTTGAATGGGGGATTGAATCGGATGTTCACTGCGGTTACGAATTTTGGCTTTTGACCCATGGCAAGGTGGCAGTGGCCCGAGCAACCGCTTCTCCGACTTCTTGGGCCGCGGTGCCATCCCCGGCAGCTTGGAGGCCGCGGACGCGGCGGATGCCATCGGCGGGTACCGGGAGGGCCTCTCCGTGCGGGAGTTGGACGTGCCTCGGAGCTCGAAGTGGACGCACCAACGTATGAGTGCATCCTTTTGTTGAGAGTACCCTGTGGTGTTGCTTTAAAGGGAACCCAAAAGCAACCACCGCAGATGCCACAATTCCAGCCTTTGCCCTCAATGGGTGCTTCAGAATTCCCTAAACGGTGCGGGGTACCGACATATTTTCCTTCAGTTCGAAGTGGCTTTAAGCAACCAAATTTGAAGTCAGCTTCTGCTTGGTGATTGTAAGGAAGATAAGGACCCCGGTGAAACCCCTTGTGCCATTGTGGGGTCATCACTTTTTGGCCCGAGGTCTTGGAGTCGCCGAAGAATCGAGATTCTAGCTTGTTTTGGTTGAGGTTACGGAGTCATGGCCATTGGACCGGATGTTTATTTAAATTCCCATTGCAAATGATGTGGGAATGTGCATAGAGAACAGGCAGCGAACCCTCCAATCCAACAAATTCGCGCCTTTTGGGATATGCCTGATCCAGTGTTTTGATTTTCCAAAATTTGTTTTGACTTTTAAAAAAGCCTTTCTTGCTGTTGCTCAGTAGGGAGTGGCCCAGGGTATTGGGAATGAACCTAGGGATTCCCTTAAAGGCAACCAGTGGGGATGGTTTATTGCGAATCTGCCGAACTTTTCCCCAGCAACTCTTGGTTGCGGTCACTGGGCATCTCTCTCGCCAACCGCGCGCTTGCTACATGTCCCTCGTCAAACCTGATGCTAACCAAGATTGAAGCAAGCAACATCATGCGTTTCATATGCAAACCCAATCGGAAATGCATACACGCACTACCCATACATATATATATATGTATGCACCTACATATGTACGCTGTATGCATAGGTTTGCATAGTTGCACCTAGTTTGTCTAGAAGCACGTATGCAGACACACATTTGTTTGTTGCTAGCACCATTGCACACATGCACATGGCTATGTGTGCATATGTAGGCGTGCAAATTATGTATATATATATATTTATTTATTTATTTGTTTATGCATTTATTTATTTAGTTATTTATTTGTTTATTTATTTATATACGTACCCGTGTGTTTGGTTGAATGCCGGTCTGCATGCCAGCTCCCAGCCATCAGCTTAAGGAGACCTGGCCCAACACCGCGCAGCGCGACGCGCGGCTTCTGGAGCCCAAAGAGCCGTGGCCTCTGGTGATCTTCTCCCACGGCTCCGGGGCCTTCCGCGCCAGCTACATCTTCTGGACCGAGTTTTTGGCTTCTCAGGCGACTCGTATCGACTCGTTTCGAGGGGTTTTTGGACGGGGGAAATCGAGGGTGAAACAAATAAAACAACGAGCTCTTGTGATGTAAGTCCTCTTCTGGGGGATCGCTTAGGTTTGGTTTGGGGATAGAATTTGCAGATGGTGGATTTTGAAGCAACCTTTTGTGATTCCAAGGCGATCCCTTTCTCTTGTTGTGGAGATGGCCACAGCTGGTTTAAGCAACCTGCCCCTGCAGTGGCCGAAATTTTGTCCTAACAAGGGGGTTGGCCTAGCCCTGCTCCCAGTCAGGGTTTGGAAGGGCGCCATTTGGTGATGGGGAATGGGAGTGGGAGGCTGATTAGTGTGATGCTTGGTTCGACGGACAGGGCGACACCGAAATCCACATTCTGCCTCAGACGCCATATTCATCAATAGCCCAATCCATAAAATGTTCTTCCCCACCCTGCTGTAGATGTGCCTTGGGCATAGGGTTGGTTTTCCTTCAGGCAGCCATGAGGATTCCCACTGCAAGGCGCAAGTGGAACGCGTTGCACCTGCGACCTTTGTTGGCATTGCTTTCAGCGGACGCCCGCATGATGAAATGAGCTATCAACCATTTATGCGCGGCATGTGTCTTGGTGCATTTGTCTCCAGAGTCAGTTCTGCTTGCTAAGAGAGCGAATAGGGAAGTGGGTGGCTGAAGGGCGTCAGGGATGGTAAATCCAAAATCTTGACCATCCTGGCGATTGTTTTTCCATGTGAAGCAAGTGATTTTGGCAGAAGGAGCCCCGCCGCACAACTACCAAAAAACCGCCCAGGGCGGCTTCATCGCTTTTTCCCCCCTCAAGAAATCCTGGTTGAAGGGGTCCGCGAAACAACCAGTCCCTGGTATTCTTTAGAGAGGGAAAGCCAAAGGAGGCCGGTTCAAACAATGGGCGTATCAACCAGTTTGAAGAGGTTGGCCTTTGGAATCTCCAAAGCGTGGCGGCGCATTGCCCTTTTGCGGTCAGAACATGGAAGAGCCTTCGC